ACAAATAATAATTTAAATTTCAAATATAGAAAATACAAATACAAATAATAATTTAAATTTCAAATATATAATATACAAATACAAATAATAATTTAAATTTCAAATATAGAAAATACAAATACAAATAATAATTTAAATTTCAAATACATAATATACAAATACAAATAATAATTTAAATTTCAAATATAGAAAATACAAATACAAATAATAATTTAAATTTCAAATAGAGAAAATACAAATACAAATAATAATTTAAATTTCAAATATAGAGAATACAAATAATAATTTAAATTTCAAATATAGAAAATACAAATACAAATAATAATTTAAATTTCAAATATAGAGAATACAAATACAAATAATAATTTAAATTTCAAATATAGAAAATACAAATACAAATAATAATTTAAATTTCAAATATAGAAAATACAAATACAAATAATAATTTAAATTTCAAATATAGAGAATACAAATACAAATAATAATTTAAATTTCAAATATAGAGAATACAAATACAAATAATAATTTAAATTTCAAATATAGAAAATACAAATAATAATTCTAACTTCAAATACAGAATATACAAATACAAATAATAATTTTAACTTCAAATACAGAATATACAAATACAAATAATAATTTTAATTTCAAATATAGAAAATACAAAATAATAAGTCAAATTTCGAATATATAATATACAAAAACAAATAATAATTTTAACTTCAAATACAGAATATACAAATACAAATAAAAATTTCAACTTCAAATACAGAATATACAAATACAAATAATAATTTTTTCAAATAGAGAAAATACAAATATAAATAGTAATTTTAATTTCAAATAGAGAAAATACAAAATAATAATTCAGATTTCGAATATATAATATACAATACAAATAATAATTCTAATTTCAAATATAGAAAATACAAATAATGATTTTAACTTCAAATATAGTATATACAAATACAAATAATAATTTTAACTTCAAATATAGAAAATATAAAATAATAATTCAAATTTCGAATATATAATATACAAAATAATAATTTAAATGGTAATGATTAGTCAATATTGTAAATATTGCAAAATATTAAAGATTGAATCTAATCAATTAGATCAAGTCTACCACGCACAAGGATATCATTAAGGTTTCTATTTTTTGAATACGCTGTGACTAGTTTTTTTTTATAAAAGACATTTTGCAAATCAATTGGGTTTAAACCGGCGAGACTTAGCATAAAGTACTGTTGTATTGCGTGACAAATGGTATAATCTACGAATCGTATTGGATATCTAAACCAGACCGAGAAACAGTTTGAAGCTCTCCCTGTGTAGTCTTGATGATTTGGGGTTGTTTTCTTCTTCCAAGATAACCTGTTCAGTTTGTGTCACTTTCATAACACTTGGTGGAGTTAAAATGATTTCCAATGGGTTTATCAAGACGATGGGTGATATCGAATCGGTGACCGTTTATTCGTTCTCTTAAAGAATTATTTGTCTCTCCTACATATTGTTTTGACATTTTTCGCAAGTTATTTAGGGAAATCGATAGGCCCGTGAAACCATAGTGTACAACACGAACGCGATAACAACAAAGGAGTTTTCTCCCTTTCATCATGGCTGGGTATATACAATACGAGTAAGTGTATATTTTTATCACTTATGTACTTATCAATCTATGTTATATTACTTGTGTCAAGTTTGATTTTAACTATAATGATAATTTCATGCTTGACTTTCATCTGTCTTGAAAAAGCCTTTCAAGATAGTTTACTTTACGGACAGCGTATTCATTGCTATTGGCACGGTTCACTTAATACAACATACTGTACTCGTTTCTCAGTAATTGTTCTATACTGAGATAAATCGACCGTGCCGTTTTTATGTTGCATGTATAGGGCAAACTCGACGATAAAAGAGTTTAATACAAATGGAAACCTGTTGAAAACCAATTTCAATTTAAAAAGTAGTTAATATTGAGCAGTCTCGCACTTGAGCTTCTTTGGATGGTTGCATCCACAAGTGATGGAAATGTAATTGAGTGATGTTTTAAATTACGAAAATGGGCGAACCCTACTGACTTCTTTAGAGGTAAGGTTCCAAATTTGAGGCATTGACATATTCAACAAATGGCACTGTATCCTCTAAATCTTTCTTGAGACATCAAATATACATTACCTATTTGACATGGTGAATTTCTTTCATGCGTACCTTAATATAAATTCTATATGTATATATTACAGGTCCCAGCCTCTGATTGATTTCTGTGACAGTCGACTTGGAACCACCGTCATCTCTGATAAAATATCATCAGACGGATACGAAGTGGACAACCTGATTTCGGTTGAATTCTGGAAAAAACAAAATGGTTTCATGTCAGAACGGTTCATCAAGCCTCCGATTAATCTGACGTTTCATTTTCCGTGTCCGATTTCAATATGGCGGATCATTGTTGATCCGGTAGTTGGTTCCCAGAAATCATCTTCTATCGGAATTGTATCTACCTCAAGTGGCATAGTAGCTTCCAGTGCAGAGACTAGTGATCAAAAGAGGAGACTGGAACTAAATGTGGTTGGAAAGAGCCATCAATCTGAAATTGATGTTTCTCATCTGCAAACAGCATCTAAAGGGTCACAGAGCATTAATGGATCTCGGGTTTACAGAAATTCTGAAATATATATCAGTAAATTGGACATGTCACAGCCTGCTAAAATTTGCTTTCATGATCCCAAATATGTACCATCGACTTCCGCTTCAAGACTTCTGGATCTAAATTGTTTTAAATATTGTGGGCAATTACGTCATATCCGTCAACTGTATAACGCCAGTCATATAACTGTAAAGATTTGTCAAACTCTGAGTGGCTCAGTAGGAGCAGTGAAGTCGGTGGAGATCTGGGGCCAGCCTACAAAATGGTGTAATAAGGAACTTGTCAGGAAGGTCTATGAGAGATATAAATGTGGTGTTGGTGTATCACGGAACTCGCATTACCAATCTCAAGTGGGTAGAGTACCACAAAATAGTGCACAACATACTGAAATCAAGGTAAATAACTCTGTAGACCTGTGCACTGACAGGCGTAAAATTCAAACAGTTGATATTCCAGACGAGTTTTTAGATCCATTGTCATGTGACATTATGACCATTCCTATGTTACTTCCGAGTGGACGCAACGTAGACAAATCTTCACTAGACAAATTTATAGACATCGAGGCGTCGTGGGGAAGACAACCAAGTGATCCGTTCACCGGTGTTGCATTTACGGCGAAATCTTTCCCAATACCAAATGATGCATTGAAAGGTCGCATCGATCATTTTCTGATCTCTAACGAATCGTCCGGCGACATCCAGACTTTGCCCCGAACTGTGTCAACTGTTTATCAAAAACAAGCTCAGCTCAAACGGAAATCAGAGATACAAACCAGTGTGCACAAAAAATTAAAATCTAACTTGGGCACAAACGAAATCCGTAGTTGCACTATACCAACTGTCCGTAGCCAACAATTGACCGCAAGTTCGTCCAATCCTCCAGCGCGACAATCATCGGGTGGTAAAATAGTTTTAAATGTTCATGAAGATAATCTCCACAAGAGCCTCAATACGGCCCTATCAAGCGTGTTGGGTAATTTCCCATCCTTCCGGAAAAGATCAGACTCAAGCGAATCTCCTGAAATTAGTACGTGTCAATGTGTTGTTTGTAAGATAGATCTGGAATCATTAGATTTAAAATATGAATTATGTTGCAAGCACCTGTTGTGTAGAAATTGTTTGGTGGAGTTAAAAACCGTCGAGGTACAATGTGCAGTTTGTGATCAAGTTACTTTAAAACAGAATATCTTAAGGATACATAGGTGACTGCCTAAAATAGAAAGTTAAATGTGATTATTGGAACTCTATGAAATGAACTGAATATTGATCTATGTGAAACAAAATTGTTGAATCTAATATGTGTCAAAACTACCCCTTTTTATATTTGCTTCACTGGTTTGTTGTGGGGAATATTTTGCGTTGATCGAATTCCAGTAATATTAATAAAATAAAGCAGTCATGTTTCTTGGTACTAGTAAAAATAATATTAATATGATATTAATATCCTTAAACATGCAAACATTTATACAGATATACAATCATATCCCTTAGAAAACAACTAACCAATCATATTTTACAAGGGCACCGAAACCAGAAGATATCAAAGACCACGAAGCATCCAGATCTACATCTTCCTTGTTAAATTATATTGAATGTCAATGAAGCTAATCTAATCTCCCAGGACATGCCAGTGCATGACTGTATTTATAGTTTGTTTAATTCAATTAATTTGTAAATAGATAAGTATTTATTGAATTTGTTGAACTGATCCTAGTATAATTTCCACCACCTGTTCATAGTGAAAGTTCAAATGCCCAAAGCGTAAATATACCCAGATTGATCGATGATTTATTTCTTGACCGTTAAGAGTATAAATGTAACCCTGGACTCGAGTTCATTCATTAACCTATATGGTCGTTGACACAACTCTGTCCTAGACTTTTGCAGATGGAAAAGAAAGAGGTTGAAAGCACAAGAACGAATAGAAGTAGATGGTTCAAGTCACTGCTGATTTCTATTTCGACAGTACAAGAACTAAGATGACGACACATACGCACGATCGGTTGTATTGGATTCTTATGTTAACCCCTGATCTTTCCTAAGCTTTCTAGAATTCTAGAAAAGATTCGAATACTACATTTTAGATATTATATAACTCTAGGACAGCTGCAATGGTATCAGTTTTAGATATTATCGTTGGTACATATCTCGACATTTCGATGCTGCAGTTTTGTGAGTTTTCATGAACTATAAATGCATGTTTAAATATGGAAATGGAAAATGAAATTTGACTGAATTCACATTTGACGATATAAGTCTTATGAGTTATTACACTTGATGCATAAAATCTGTCTTGGGGACACATGGGTTGGTTGGTTGGTAGATGACAAGTTAATGCTCGCTTCCGGCGAATGCTGATATCGCAAACTAGGTAGTTATTGGTAGTCATAGTAGTTGATAGTTGGGTTGGTTCAAATTGAATGATTCTGTGCTGTTGATTTGGTATTTGATAATTCATAAGATCTGGTCAGGTCGAATGACTTGCCGGAGAAACTCGACCCTAGGTGGTGTGGCGTAAGTTACTGGATCTTCTGGACATAGAGCTACAACAATATTCCGAGAAACTAATCCATAAGGTGTTCAAGCTCAGTGGCGTTTCACTAAAGCATTAGGTGGAGGGGCGGGAGTTTGGTGTTGGGGGGAAATAGCACCAGTCATTTAAGGACTCGATGGTTTGAAATTTGTAACTGGTGTAGCAAACACCGGTCCAGCCAAATTTCTGCACCCTGCACGGACTTTGTACATATCCTCATTGCATCTGCAAAATCAAGAAGGTGGACTAGACACGAATTGAGTATAATATTCATACGAAATCATGGAAATGAATAAAACAAGAAAAGCCTTTTGTCCAATGAAATGAATTCAACAATATAGCGCCTATGAATTCATTCAGTAATGAAAGCGAGTTTTAATTTTTCTGTACCGTTTTAGGCTAATGAGAACTGACAAACTCCATTTGTTTCCTAACAAATCTAGCAAATGGGGCTGAATTCATTCATACAAGACAAATTATGATGAATGGCAAATGAAAGGGTTCAGTCTTTTTACCCAACGTCAAGACCAGTTTAAGTATATCAAATTGACTGAATTTCTGCTGGAAATTATGAATGATCTTAACAAATTGATCACTTGCAGAAAATTGTTCAAAGTTAAAAAATAACTTAAAAGGAGACTAATATTAAAGTTTTGTCCGTGAATTTGGAAGAGAGTTACTCGCTTTTACAATTATTTTTTAACAATATTTTTAAAATTTTGTTTACCAGGAAATCATTGTTTAAGCCCCAAGAAATTTGTAGCACAAATAAAATTAAAAACTTAATTAATTATTAAATTGGTCTCGCAGGTGACAGGTGTAATTAGCAATGTTGATTGATTTCTATTGAAAGAAGTAAAAACTGTCGGTTTTTTTTAAACATATCAATTAGACAACCTTGAGATAAAAATTTTTAAAATCAAATTCCGACTTCGTGATTTATTCACTTATTTGCAGTGTTAAATGAAATGAAATGAATGTGGTAATGAAGACCGATCGCCATGCTCTGTGAAACGACTACGTCCTTTCGTTATCCAAATGTCGAGGGATCTTTAACGCCCATGGTCGCACGGGACCTCGGTTTAAAGGGACATTCCGCTTCTTTTGTAGGACGAAACATTTTTGTGCTCAACTTTGAGAAAACTTTATATCAAAATCTAAAGAAATGTGCCCTGAAAGATCAACTAAAAAATTCCAGCCCACCAGAAATTGTTGTGTGATTTTTTTTATACACCTTACTATAGTTCAAATAAGTTTAAATTATTTTTCATTAATTAATCGCGAAACCGGATGTGAAGCAGAGCGTGCTGCCGAAAAATAACAAACATGGCAGCCTCATACAACTCGTGCAGTGATATTTTGTACACGCTGTCATACCTGATAACAAACACACGCAGTTCCATTCGGCATTACCGGACACTTACTACAAGTACACCAAAATGTATCCTCGGTTCTACTGAACTGATCGCCGCTCTTCGTCTCATTTATGTTAGATTCCATTTGCTTCCCATCTAAGAGTTGTTCAGGTGTATAAACAGCCTCAAATCTGTATGGCTGAACACTAAAATCATGATATTGTTCCTCTTTACTCAGTAAACTTTTATCAGAATCATAGGCTGAGGCCATGTTTGTTATTGTTCTAAAGCTCACTCTACGTCACATCCGGTTTCGCGATTAATTAATAGAAAATAATATCTTTATTTTAACTGTAGTAAGGTGTATAAAAAATCACACAACAATTTATTGTCCTTTAAACGCCAAAAATATTTAAAAAAATGACATTTCGCTATGTTTTTTGAAGTTGTTAAAAAACTAATGTGCTGATTTGATTAAAATAAACGTCTTATTGTAGAGAAGTAATGTCTCCTACGTATTCTATAGGTTTCAACTAAAAATATCGAGCCATTTTAAAGCTGAAAAAGGGACTGAACCCTGACCTATTGGTTAGCGATCAAGTAATTAAATCACTGAGACACCGAGATTCCTTGACAAAATTTTCAAAAGCAGGAATGACTGTATTCTAACTAAATCCAGCCTCCAAACAAATTTTGGATTATTCCACTCATATCAATAGAACAAGTAGTCATTGATTTATGAGTTTGGTTATATATTTTTAAATAAAAAAAACTTTCAATTCGACAATGATATAAAATTTCAAATGTAGATATCAGTCCCATGGCGCATGTTTTTCGGGCAAAAATCTCATAACTAGGTTACAAATTCGGGCAACCTCAGGTATTTATCTGAGAAATAAGATACTGATAAAGAGTTAACATGCACGGTTACAATGCGATACAAATGGATAGTATTCCTTAATGGTCCAACTTAGTTTAAATTTTTATCCAAATAAGAAGATGGCAAAAAGTAGGTTTTTTCGTTCAACAACACACTCTCACACGTGGACACTTTTAATATTAAAAAACCTCAAAACTATGTAATTAACATAATTTTAATTAAAGAAATTTCGACATACTGAATTTTGAATAGGAAAACATGCCGATAGCTATTCAAATATTACTAGAGCATTTCCTTGATGGAAAATTCATTTCTACATATTGAATGCAATCTGACGACAGAGCCGTGGTGCTGCCATTCATAAATAACTCGAATACACTCTTCTATTATAACTTTATATATTATAAGTAGAAATTGGGAAACCCAAGCAGTCATTGTTACTTTAAAGTTGGCAGTTCGAATCTGTCCACTCATAAATATTGCCGAGTTCAAAAATGTTATATTGTTAAAAGTTATGATGCAAAGTCGCATGTAGAGGAGCTAATTAATTTCGAATTATTACCCACGACCTGAGTACTAATGACATACTTACGATATACTTACGACATTATATGTAATGTAATAATAGAAAATTGACAGTTGGACCCTTTCTAGTTCCACAGGTTGTACCGATTCTGTAATGGTTAACATAGATTTGGAATTGGACAACTGTGGTTTGTGCAAATCCACGAAACCTGCTATCGCAAAGGACCTTATATAAAACGCAGATGTCAACAATTCCTTTGTCACCTGTCACTGTTGGTAGGTTTTCGGATTTTTTTCATGCGGGGAAGCCATTCTGGGGCGGTGGATGTTGGTGGCATTGCGCCTCCTGGTCCTCCAGTTCCTACGGGTCTGGAATGGCAAGAACTGGCAATATCTGTAAATAACCATTCTATACCGAAAAGTTTTTAAATCCGTTGTGCTGCATATGATCCTGATATAAAATTTCAGAATTTTCCCTGGATCTTGTGCTCGAGAGTTATATTTAAGAAAAAAAGCCCATAGGGCTAATTACATGAGAGCATAAGAAATATTTCATTGTAGAAGAGACAAAACCCTTTCAACCGGCGTATAACCGGGTGAAAATTCAAGTTTTTTTTTATCAAATATTATTGAATTATCATCTGGGTGAAAATTAATTCCCAGGTGATAATTCAATAATATTTAACTAAAGACTTGAATTTTCACGCGGGTGATAATTCAATAATATTTAACTAAAAACTTGAATTTTTTAATTCTAGAATTTTGAATTAAAAACTTGTATTTTCATCTGAGTGGAAATTAATTTTCACAAAGGTGAAAATTCCAGAATTTTGAATTAAAAACTTGAATTTTCATCCGGGTAAAAATTCAAGTTTTTTTATCAGATGTTATTGAATTGTCACCTGGGTGAAAATTAATTTCCACTCGGGTGAAAATACAAGTTTTTAATTAAAAATTCTAGAATTTCCATCCGGGTGAAAATTCAAGTTTTTTTTATTAGATATTTTTAGGTATTATAATTACATTTTCATTTCACACGACCATTGCATTCATTTTATACGAGACCACTTTCGTACATTTTTGTTAGGTGAGATTCGAACGGTTCAAGGAAGCCTTTACATAAATTCCCAATTCTGACGGAGTAAACACCATCAATCAGTGGACCTGTCATAGAACCACACGTACTGCTTGGTATAAATATCAGGCAGAAGCTGTTGTAGAATCAGCTCAAGCAATCGAGTTCAGTGAATTGATCTGAAAGACGTCTGCAATCAAGGTAGGGAAATTTTTATTTAGAATATGCTTTAAAGGGATTGTTAAGAGGTTTTCTAAACTTTTTATGTGTATCCGGGCACCACTCCAATTTTCAATCGGACACCTGCGATTCAAAACATGGGTTTTCTAACCACAATATTGATTTATGCATGTATGACAACCAGATATTCGTTCCAATCACAAAAAGACAAAAGGAATGTGGATTGAAACATTAGTAGAAGATCTCCGGAACTTTCGATTATTGAAAAGTCTCCTCAGCCCCAACCCTAGCCCAAATTGTCTTCTTTTTAGTACTCTATGTTATCAGCGACTGTCTAAGTAGCCTATGACTGATCGAATTTCAGATAGATTGGATCAGTGGTCGTCAAGCAGGTTCTGTCCGATTCTACAACATGGTTTCGTCTATTGACATGCACTAAAATAATTGAATAATTCAATGTTTGATAGTTTCCACTGAAATGATTTGATAATTTAAAGAGATTATAAAGAGGTTTTCTAAATTTTGTATGTATATCGGGGACACTGATAGCATCAATTTGCAATTTTCAATCAGACGTCTGTGATTTCTGCGATTCCAAGACAAACTAAGAGTTTGATGATGTCACTAATTGCAAAATATGCTTTACACAATAGAAAGGACTTCGCACAAACCACAGACGTCTGATTGAAAATTGGAATGATGAAAAATTGATGCTATCAGTGTCCCCGACACACATACGAAATTTAGAAACCTTTACAACCCCTTTTATGGTTGATTAATGCCACTGAAATGATTTAATATGTATATTTTTTTCTATGGTAGATGTATAAAGTAATCTGTTTAATCGCTTGCCTCGTATCAGCATCAACCGCCTCGTATTACGGTGGATTCGGCGGAATTGGTTTAGGAGGTCTGGGTGGATTTGGAGGTTTAGGAGGTCTGGGTGGATTTGGAGGTTTAGGAGGTTTGGGTGGATTTGGAGGTCTTGGCGGATATGGAGGCGGTCTGGGGGGATATGGAGGCGGTTTATTAGGCGGCCTTGGTAGTTTTGGTGGTCTCGGCTATGGAAAATTCGGCCACTACGGCTTGCCTTATGGTGGAATACCTTTCATCCCTCCATTCTTTGGAAAACATTACGGAAAATATTATTAGGTACGTATATATTTATAAATTAAAAAAAAACGGGGTAATAACTACAGTTTTAAATCCTAAAGGTGTCTCCCTATAAATTGTTGCCCACTCGCACATTTGTTGAAATTATTATATAGATCGGCATAAACATAAGATTGTTCGTGGAGAAACTATTTGTCTAAGATTTTATGTACCAACGATAAAAGTTATCAATGACGGAATGCACATTTTGAAATAAAACCTCTATATTTTTTTTGTATTTTCAGGACAGTACTCCAACATATAATAGAATGATTGATGACGACAGGATCGAAAATGAATAAATGAAACTTTTTTAATAAAATTGTCAGCATTGATAAAAGTCAATGTATAACTTATACAAGCAAAATGCATATAATAAAATTTTATGCTAAGAAATAAACGTTTTGAAATATAATAAACTCCCTATCTTAACGAAACACTTCTGATCCCAGTTTGTCAGATATGTCAAAAAGAACTTTAGTAAGTATGTATTTTGATTTGAGAAATTGCACACTAACAGCTGATTTTTGGAGGAACCAGAAGATAGCTTAATAAATAAAAAAGGGTTCAAGACAACAAAAGGATTGAGAACTAAGGCCCTATATATTCAGTATTATACCAGACAGATTTGTCACAAACAGCTATGACAGGTGTGGCGCCAGGCAGGGAATGCTGATAGCACTTTCATAAAAAATAAAATATAATTTTTCTTTTATGTTAGAGTAATCCACTTTGTGTTTTTTTGACTCTATCAATGACGTCATATCTCTAATTGCTGCTGCAGTCTGCGAATTTTCTGCAGTCTTGTGATTGACGTAGAAAATATTACACGCTATATAATTTATGTTATAACGGGAAAATTATATTTATGACAAATATATGATAGGGTGTTAAAAGTGGCAGACTGGCTTCCATTAAAAGCAAGGTTACTGCACATCTTAATACATTCATTCTTATTTAAAAGACATATTTTAAAGAACTTAAAAAATCTCAGATGCAGTTGGTTTTCTACAGGATTGTCGTGACATATAATTGGTAACAATGAATTATGAGTTCTATATTGATGCCCTTCTGTATAATATATTCATTGCTGTCACATAATAAGGAATTACCCAAATGTTGATCAGAATTTACTACATTGATACATTTGCCATTGAAATAAACATCCTTTATATTAGATACATCTTTATGGCCATGACTTAAAATTAACATCTTACTTTTGTCGGGATTAAACTTTACATCATATTTGTTTGAAAATTCGTCGCATATCTTAAGTAGTGAAACAAGTGCCTGGCGAGACGGGGTAACGAGGGTGATATCGTCGGCGTAGTCAGTATTATACCAGACATACTTGTAATATTAATATCATATAGTCAGTATTATACCAGACATACTTGTTATAAAAATATCATGTAGTCAGTATTATACCAGACATACTTGTTATATAAATATCTAAGTCAGTATTATACCAGACATACTTGTTATATAAATATCATATAGTCAGTATTATACCAGACATACTTGCTATATAAATATCTAAGTCAGTATTATACCAGACATACTTGTTATATAAATATCATGTAGTCAGTATTATACCAGGCATACTTGTTATATAAATAACATGTAGTCAGTATTATACCAGACATACTTGTAATATAAATATCATGTAGTCAATATTATACCAGACATACTTGTTATATAAATATCATATAGTCAGTATTATACCAGACATACTTGTTATATAAATATCTAAGTCAGTATTATACCAGACATACTTGCTATATAAATATCATATAGTCAGTATTATACCAGACATACTTGCTATATAAATATCATGTAGTCAGTATTATACCAGACATACTTGCTATATAAATATCATGTAGTCAGTATTATACCAGACATACTTGTTATATAAATATCATGTAGTCAGTATTATACCAGACATACTTGTAATATAAATATCATGTAGTCATTATTATACCAGACATACTTGTTATATAAATATCATATAGTCAGTATTATACCAGACATACTTGTTATATAAATATCATATAGTCAATATTATACCAGACATACTTGCTATATAAATATCTAAGTCAGTATTATACCAGACATACTTGCTATATAAATATCATGTAGTCAGTATTATACCAGACATACTTGTTATATAAATATCATATAGTCAGTATTATACCAGACATACTTGCTATATAAATATCATGTAGTCAGTATTATACCAGACATACTTGTAATATAAATATCATGTAGTCAATATTATACCAGATATACTCGTTATATAAATATCATGTAGTCAGTATTATACCAGACATACTTGTTATATAAATATCATATAGTCAGTATTATACCAGACATACTTGTTATATAAATATCATATAGTCAGTATCATACCAGACATACTTGCTATATAAATATCTAAGTCAGTATTATACCAGACATACTTGCTATATAAATATCTAAGTCAGTATTATACCAGACATACTTGTAATATAAATATCATGTAGTCAATATTATACCAGATATACTCGTTATATAAATATCATGTAGTCAGTATTATACCAGACATACTTGTTATATAAATATCTAAGTCAGTATTATACCAGACATACTTGTTATATAAATATCATATAGTCAGTATTATACCAGACATACTTGTTATATAAATATCATATAGTCAGTATTATACCAGATCATGTAATCAATATTATACCAGATATACTCGTTATATAAATATCATGTAGTCAGTATTATACCAGACATACTTGTTATATAAATATCATATAGTCAGTATTATACCAGACATACTTGTTATATAAATATCTAAGTCAGTATTATACCAGACATACTTGTTATATAAATATCATATAGTCAGTATTATACCAGACATACTTGCTATATAAATATCATGTAGTCAGTATTATACCAGACATACTTGTAATATAAATATCATGTAGTCAATATTATACCAGATATACTCGTTATATAAATATCATGTAGTCAGTATTATACCAGACATACTTGTTATATACATATCATATAGTCAGTATTATACCAGACATACTTGTTATATAAATATATAGTCAGTATTATACCAGACATACTTGTTATATAAATATCATATAGTCAGTATTATACCAGACATACTTGTTATATAAATATATAGTCAGTATTATACCAGACATACTTGTGATATAAATATCATATAGTCAGTATTATACCAGACATACTTGTTATATAAATATATAGTCAGTATTATACCAGACATACTTGTTATATAAATATATAGTCAGTATTATACCAGACATACTTGTGATATAAATATCATATAGTCAGTATTATACCAGACATACTTGCTATATAAATATCATATAGTCAGTATTATACCAGACATACTTGTTATATAAATATCATGTAGTCAGTATTATACCAGACATACTTGTAATATAAATATCATATAGTCAGTATTATACCAGTCATACTTGTTATATAAATATATAGTCAGTATTATACCAGTCATACTTGTTATAAAAATATCATATAGTCAGTATTATACCAGACATACTTGTTATATAAATATCTATAGTCAGTATTATACCAGACATTCTTTTTAATATGCCAATAAAGGCACCAAGATCAATGGTATATTAGGATATGAGTATATCAAATGCTAAATAGCCATTTTATTCAGAAAATAAATCATACATTAATTTTGAGACAAGCATGTAAATTTCAAATAAAAATTTGAAAAAAAAATTGAAATAGAAACGAAAATTTGAAAAAATATATAGAAATAGAAATAAAAACAATTTTTTGGTATTTAACATTCCCTGAAAATAAAAGAATAAGAAATATTAAACTGATATGAAACATTTCATTTCAAATTTAGAATGTCGAATTAGAATTGCAATTTTTGCAATGATTTTCATGCAAGAGATTGTTTTAGGTTTTTGGTTTGAATGCATTTACACAAATAGGACTTTAAAGGATAAACACCATTGCAGATATGCTATCGCTATTATGTTTTGGTTGAAAACTACCGATGATTGAACAAAATATCTAGATAACGAAATTGAATGCGACAAGAACATTTAATAATATATAGAACAGAAGACAAAGTCTGTTGAAATAAAGGATGCATGTATCGGAGTTTTGCATTCTCAATTCCGACAAGCTAGCAGACAGCATCCTTGTAACTTAGTTGTTATCCTTATGTAAGTGGTCATGAATTCCGAATGCAACTCACAACTCAGTTGCATGAGGGTTGCGTTCGAAATTTATGATAGCCGTTCTTATTTGTAACTATAAGCAACTGGTTGTCGCTATGGTATGAGGGCCCCTTAATGTTATAGTAAAGTTAATGACTGACCTCGTCTAGAAATCTTGCACCCACATTCCATTACTGTTCATCTCAAATCCGTTTCCCATTCCCATAAACGATGAACCTAATCCAGAGTTGAATCCACCATTAAACATATTTCCCGACCACATGTTACTAGACAACCAAGGGTTATAGGGCATAGCAGGACGGAACATAAAGTTGGATAACCATGGATTC